GCCGTTCCCGCCCCGCCAGCTGATGAGGGATATCTGAAAATTGATTTTCTTTTATAATTGCCTGAAATGGGGATGTTTTGCTGCCATCTACTGACTCCGGGGGCTCCCGCGCTGCTCGGCCCGTGGCTCTGCGAGCAGAGTCCCCCAAATAGCGTGTGTTTAACTTTTTTATAATTGCAAATGTGTGGGCTTTTACCTTTTCCCTTATAATTTTTGGTCTCCTGTGTTGCTTTTCTGTCTTGACACCGCCTTGGCGAAGTCTGAAAACGCAGTTATTGCCGGGGATTTTGTGGTTTCAAAGAGCCTCGCAAGCTTTACCGCTCCGAAAGCCGTAACAATCCCGTTTACTGTTTTAATTTGTAAACTGGGATTATTTTTTTTTAAGTTTTTCTGATCTTCCATCAAAATCTCCATCAATTCAGAACTCGCTGTGAAATCTGGAGTGGCTCAGTAGCATCTTCCGTTCTCGACAGCACGTTTACAACTGTTTTCTTCCACGAGTTAACAAAGTGTTTAAATTAGTGTTAAAGACAACCGAAACTCTTCTTTTTTCGAACACGTTTTCCATATCCCGCACTGCTAAACCTTCACGCTAAACGAAGCTGCTGACCCGGTGGTTGGTTGGTCGAGGAAATTCATTTCAGGCATAGTGGGCTGCCATTGGGATACTGTGAGGTGGGTGGAGTTAGACAGTTTCTCCTAGTCGCTTTTTTTTTCCACCTTTCCCTCCATTTTGGGGCGACTGGCGCGTGCTGTACGTTATAATTGGCAGGTGTGACTGCAGGATGCGGGAACACCCCTGGGCTAGTTGTAATCTCACCAGTTTGGGTACCAGTAGGAGTGACAAAAGGCTTGTAGGGGTATGTAGCCGCTCTGAAGGGCTTGTGTACCCCGTTTCTGTTGTCGGTGTAGATCCGAGTGCTGTAATTACCCATTGGTGTTGTAGATGAAGTGATACAGGAGGATTGGTCCAGGGTGCATCCCGCCAGCCTTCCTTACACTGCCAATACGCTTCCTTACGCTGAAATTGCGGATAACTGAGGTTAAACAGATTTTCAGTGGAAGTGGTAACTTTTTTCAGGAGGGATGCACTTGCCTTACGAAGATAATTCCTCTTTGTGCGCTCCCAGTATTTCTCAGTTTAGGTGTGGTTTTAGGCAGAAACATTTGTCCAGTGTGATCTACCCTCTTAGTCATCCTTCCCCTGCTGCGCTCATTCGTGCTCTGTCTGGCTTGAATCACTGGGACTGTTCAAATTCTTCTTAGTTGAAACTGAAGAATTACATTATTAAATTCCTTGTTAATTAAAAACCCTGCCCTCTTTGGAGGCGCTGCTTTTAGTTGGGATGGAGTTAACTTTCCTCACGGTAGCTAGGAGGAGGCTGTGTTGTGGCTGTGCCGAGAAGAGCATCGATAACATACGGCTGTTTTCAGTTGTTCCCAAGGAATGTTTATATCGACTCAAGGGCTTTTCCAGTTTCTGATACTGCCCCTCCGTTTCCATGGGCAGTATCTGCCCTGCAGGAAGCTGGGAGGGGGACACAGCCCGGACAGCTGACCCAAACTGACTTTTCATGCCATAAAATGTTGTGTTGGGTATAAAGTTGGGGGTGGGCCAGGGGTTTCTCTCTCTCTGGCTTGGTCAGGCTGTCGGGCCCTTGCTGCTCGGGGACCTTCTACACATCGGTCGGCGGGTAGCGAGCAGTTGTATCATCGGTGTTCTTTTCCGTTATTTTCATTACACATTATGGTTAGTATTATTTTTTCCTAGTTTATTTTTAATGATTTATTTAATTTGTTTTCAGTTATTAAATTGCTCTTAATCCACGAGTTTCCTTTCCTGCCATCCTGCGCCCCATCCCTCTGGGGGAGGGCAGCGAGGGCTGCTGGCTGGGGTTAAACCACAGCAGTGTTGGATGCTGGCGCTTGCAGACTCCCCTTTGAGCTCTGGTGGTTTCGGGTCCTGCGTGTTCTCTGCTCTTCCATTTCTGTTTGCACCTGTTGTGGCTCCTGTTCTTTGGTGATAACGCCTGTTGATCCTGGTACCGTATCTGTGGCTCTGCCTCCATATTAAGAAACAACCGATTTCGGGGTTGTTGGGTTTGTTCTTGCGTATCTTAATGAGTTTTCATCTCTAAACCAGAAAAAGTCCAGATCGCATCCTGTACAGTCAGATTTCCAGGGATTGTTCCATAGCCATTTTATGCCATAAATCAGAATGGAATTATCATAGTGATTCCTGGGAAGTGTAAATTTTTGTGGTTTTGCTCTGTTTCCCCCTGATAGAGAACAAAGCTCTGGGGATTGCTTTTTCTGGTGGTTTGGGCTGGAAGGGGGCGATCATTTCCTGTATAATTTCTTAGTCAGACCTTAAATATGTGGTGAAGCTTGTCTAAACTTCTAACTGCACTGTGGTCTCGAGTATTACATTTTAAGTCTAAAATGCGTTCTTGAAGGGTAATTGAGACCCCTGACTGCCCCTCTGTACTCCTCTTTTTGCTACGGTACCATCTTGATCTGACTACGCGCGATGCCCGGCTTGCAAAATAAACCCGTAAAGCTAGAGAGGGTGTGAAATGAGAACAGGCCTGGCCTCGTTAAAAAGGGATTGGGTAGTTTCAAGTTGAATTGAATCTCTTTTGATTTTACTTTTGACGGAAAAAATTTGCGCTTGCCCAGGGAAAAGTGGGTGATTAACTCTTTGGCTTCTACTGAACGCCACATCTAACAGAGCAATGTAGCAATAATCGTGACCCTACGCAATCGCAATATAAAGACCGGTCTGCGTTAATGTTTTGGGGTGTTTCTGGATTAAGGAAGAAAGAACTTCCGTTGGAGTTTGTAGATAATGTGGAATTATCTTTAAATCCTGATAGGAATGTTGGTATTCTGTAGGTCTTTAAGTCGTTCTTCCCAGAACTGATCTTTCCAGGGAATGTACTGCAAAGCTCTTCAGATCCCCAGGATGCTGTGGCTTGGTCTGGGTAGCGCATCTACCGCAGCACGGGAATCTTGCTTTCCGAGCTTGTGCAGCCGGTTGAAAAAGGAACGTTTAACATAGTAAGAATAACAAACTGTCAGTAACTGTGATGCTGAAGAAGCGCCAAGTTCCGTGGTGGTTAATGGTTTTGAGCAACGTGGTCTGTCTTGGTGCGTAGGGACAATCACGGCGTGATGGGTGGTTTTGAACTGGAAAACCTCTGCTGAAGGGAATAACCCGGCTGTGGTGATGCTTTCCCTGCAGATGGAAGATGGTCACTCCCTTTTCGATTACAGCGTTGGACTGAATGATATTGTTCAGCTCCTGGTCAGACAAAGCCCAGCAGTGCTTCCTGCTGTTAGCAAGGAGAAGGATTCTGAGCTCTCCGACACAGACTCTGGCTGTGGCTCAGGCCAAAGCGAATCTGACAAAAGCTCTCACAACGGAGAAGGTGCCATGGAGCTGGAGGGACAGCCGAGCACTGCGGCACAGCCCGACTGGACTGACCCGGGATTTGGCCTCTATAAGGTGAGTCGTTAAAAAACGAAGGTTACTTCAACCCACACTTTGGGAGGGGAGTCGTTTCTTTGTAGCTGAGAAGGTTTGAAAATCTTTCATGCCCCAATTGTGGCTTTTTTCTTAAACCCTCCAAGAACAAACAAAAAAAATACCAACCAAACCACAGGCCAATTAAATGCAGCATGTTGTTGGTCAAAATATTTCATTTTTCATTTTATCCTTTTAACTAAGACTACAATACATTAATAGATTTTAAATAAAAAAAGGCATTGAGTGCCTGTTTTGACTTAAGAATTCTCCCAATATTTTTGCTTGGAGTCTCTGCGTTTCTCAAAGCTGAAACTTTCTTAAATGAACAAAAGAAAATCTTGAGCAGCTGTTCCGAATCACTTGACTTGTCTGTTTCAATGGGTTTTATTACAGATTTGGTGGTGTCTTTGCCAGACTATGAACAAGATGGTTCTGAAAATCTGTTACAGACTCACTGCTAATGGTTTGCCCTCGATAAAGGTGTTTGTACACGTGCTGGTGCAGAGTGTATTTTTAGCTTAGGGGTTCAACCTGAGAAGACTGTAGGGGTGGACAATGGGATCAGGAAGGCAAAGGAAATGTGAAAAATTAAGATGATCTGTGAAGTTCTGGGGATGGTTAAATCTTCAAGTAGGCTTGGAAATTAACGCTTGATCAGAAAATCCATTTTGGTGAGCTGAATGCTTTGTTTTGTGTAGATCAATGACTTGGTCGATGCTCGAGATATGAACATGGGAGCGTGGTTTGAAGCCCAGGTTGTAAACGTGACCAGGAAAAAACCTACAAATGCGTCAGCTGACAGTTGCACGAATCCTGATCAGCCGACAGCCATTCCTGAAGAAGATGTAATATACCACGTGAAATACGAAGAGTGAGTGTTGTCACCTTCTTGGCTAATAGTTGGTTCAGGATGTAAGTTTTAAACGGGATTCAGTAGTAGCCACGTTAGACTGCTCAATCCTGGCTGTGACAGTGGGAGAAGGGGATTTTGTTCTTGATGTGTTGTGTGGCGCTGGTTCTTAAATCTGGATGAATCCTACCAGTTGTAACAACTTGTGATGTTGAACCTGATTTTTCTTCTCTGTCTCCCTTCTACGTCAAGTTATCCAGAGAACGGAGTTGTGGAGCTGAGTTCGAACGACGTACGGGCTCGCGCACGGACTATTTTGAAGTGGCACCAGCTAGAAGTAGGACAGGTGGTGATGGTCAACTATAACCCCGATGAACCAAAAGAGAGAGGGTTTTGGTACGACGCGGAGATCCTGCAGAAAAGGGAAACGAAAATGACCAAGGAGATAAATGCCAAGATATTACTTGGGTAAGCAAATGCGTAACAAGTAGAAATGTGGCATAAATTGAACTGTTCAGCTCCAGCCGTCGCTGAGCTCTGAGTCCACTGAAAATGGCATGAGGGAAGTGGAGCAGCAAGTGTGCTGGGGAAGGCTGAGAAGCTGGGCTGTCCTTGCCGGGTGATCGCCTGCATTGCACTGCACTTTGGGTTAATATCTGCTGGAGGCATTGGACGCTCCACGGGCTCGCAGGGCACCCTGGAGGGTGGGTTTGCCTCATGCTGGCTGGGCGTGAAGCCCCTAATTCGTAGGAGGCGAAGGACTGTTCACTGCGTTACCTGTCCGTAATGGGCTGACAGAAACCTCAGTGAGGTGTTTTCTGCTAGGTACCATGATGTGGACTGAACCCTCGCTTTAGAAAGACGGGGATAGGTTACTCCAGTTTTCCCCTAAAGGAGGGGATGAGCCTGTATATAAGGAATCTCAACTCGAGGGGAAAAAAGTACATCTTTTTTTAGCATTTCAGACAAGTTTCACAGGGTTGCCAGAAGATCCCTTCTTTTTCCTCTCATCACAGTGATTTTGACTTCTTAACTGTTAAACAGGAGAAGAGTTAGTCAAAGGGATATTCTGGGGGGAGAACAGTCACTAATCACAGAATCACAGACTGGTT